GACTACTAAAGAAAAATAATAGCTTGCATTTTCATAATGAAAAGCACTTTGAATAATTTCCATTTGCTTTTTATAACAACCTTGTGAGTATCATTATCCCTATTTTTACAGATGAAGAAACTTTGTATCAGAGACGTAAAATGACACATCCAAGGCCACACAATAATAACTGGTGAAGTTGAGACTCTGGTCTACTGCTGTTTCTGTCACACCATCTACTACTCAAGGAAGCTGTAATTTACTCTCCAGCTTCCCTCCCCCTCCCCCTCCAAAGCCTGAAGTGTTAGAAGCACAATTAACTTTTGCTTCAGGGTTTGAAAGTGAAACTGACTATTCATAGTATTGAAACTCTGTCCAGGAACAAAGACTGTAGCTGTGGAGAAGTCAATTTGATTTCCAGTTTTTCGCATACTTTTTGTGTGATTCCTGCCCTTAAAAAATGAAAATCTTGTTTTAAGAGAAGAGTGACAGCTATTCCCCTTTAAATTGAAAGCTGGGGATCACGGAAAACAATGTCTCCCCATCTTTTTCTGTTGAAAGATAAATATTTATTTTAGGGCATTTTTGGCAACCTACCATCAATTTGAAATAAGAAAGTCTGTAATAAGTCTTTGGAATTCTACTTTACCAATCATTTGAAGGCAAAAGCAGGAGTTCTCCATTGAGATTCTTGAGAGATGAAATAAGGCAAACACTATTAAAAAAAATGAATTGCAGAAGTTTCCAACAAACTTTAAGGACAGATGCTGAACAGATAAGTAATATGGATTTGTACTTTCTCTACTTAGCCTGTAGATACTTCACCTGAGGCAGCATGTCATAGGAGAAAGGCACTGGACCTGGGTATTTATCCTATCTCAAACATTTACCAGCTATGTGACCCTAAGCAAGTCATTTAATCTCTCTGTGCCTCACTTTCCTCGTTGTAAAATGAGAGGTTTAAACATTAACGGCCTCTAAAGTCCCCTTTCTAACTCTATGATCCTATGACAATCCTATGAGTGCAATAAACAGTCCCTGGATGTGGTTTGGAAAGTAGGTAGCAGACAACATGAATGTAGAAAAGATCAAGGAAGAAGTCGGAGGTTATTGAGAACAGAGCTCAATTTAACTCTTCCCATACAACTGATCTTCCACAAGCCCTTCAAATTCCTATTTTTCCTTTCCAGTTTAGTCCCAAAGTAACCTGATACAGGATTTTCTTCTCACACTACACAGTTTCTACTCCTATAAATCCACTTGGGACTTGCTTCTCTATTCCTTTCAAGATGTTAAACAGTCAATAAGCAATCCCAAACCCTTTGTTTGTTGGTATTGCCATGTCAAATGTTAACCTATTACCCAGAGTCAAGAAAAGAACTCTGGCTTTGGCTTCAGAAGGGCTGGGTTGCAATTCCTGCTGGGCCACAAACCACCTGGAAAGTTCCTTCCCCATTCTGATCTTCAGTTTCTTCTTCTTGACACAGATTTAGAAGTGGAAAGAATCTAATCATGTTTACATGACTACCCAAGATCACAGGATTTAGAGTTGTAAAAGACCTTAGTCCAACCCCTCATTTTAAAGATGAGGAAAATAACATTCCAAGAAGCCAAAGTAACTTCTTCACGATGACAGGATGGTACAAATGAAGCCACCAGAATTTGAACTTGAGATCTTCTAGGGCTATTGTCACTACATCATATTGCTATTAGTGAGTGCACAACCACTTTACTTCTACAAAAGGTAGCTGTTTGTATTTAGCATAAATCGAGGAGTGTTGACATTTTTGCAATAAGTAGTTATAGAATGGCCAAACACGTTATTATGTAGAATCTCTTAATCAGTGCTAAAGAACACAGTTAACTGTAAAGTACTACGTAAACACGTTTATTATTAATCCTCACTTCATGGGATAAGATAGAAAAAAACACTGGTTATAAAATGCTTTCAGTCAGTCCTCAAAAATGTTTATTAAGCACCTACTATGTGCTATAACCACAACCTAAAACAGTGATTAACTCTGAAATTCCTTTACCTGATCATAAGCCCATTCAAGACAAGCATTTGTTAAGCACTCGCCATGTGCTAACAAATTAACCATAATTCGCTATGTAACTATAAGTTTATTATTAATCCTCATTTAATGAAGTAAAATACAAAATGCAGTGGCTATAAAATGCATTCAGTTAGTTGTCAAAGCATTTATTAAGCTCCTACTTATCAACCACAACCTAAAACATCCGTGTTAATTAACTCTGAAATTCCTTTATCTAATCATAATCAAGTCAGATAAGCACTCAGGATACAAAGAAAAGGCAAAATGACAGCACCTGCCCTCTAGGAGCTCACAGTCTATTGGGGAAGACGACACGAAACACTGTACAAACAAGCTACAGACCGGGTAAACCCGGGATCTCCAGCCGAGGAAAAGCCTCGGGCCAACAGCAGGGGGGGTACATTAAGTGGCCCTTAACAGAAGATCGACAGCTTTACACCTAGTATCTCCAGGATCTTCACGACCACCCGGGAGGGGGAGCGAGAAGGGGCACACGGGGAGCACGCACGCAGAGGCGCCCTAACTTGCCCGAGGAGGCGGCGCACGTCCCGGGACTCTCTCCAGACCCCGGCTGGCCCGCGAGTCCTAGCCACGCCACGCCACGGCCGGGATTCCCGGGGCTCCGCACGGTGGACGCTGGCCAGCGCCTCGCCGGGCACCTGCCCGGGTGAGGACACCGCTTCCGTACTCCGCCGACTCCGGGCCCCGCTCATTGGCTAACGCGCCCGGTCCTTCCTTCCCTTCCCCCTCCGTGCAACTCCAGTGACAGGAGGGCAAACTCGGGGGTCCCGACGCGTCCCCCGGAGTGGGGAATGTCGGGTCTGGGGGGAGAGACCGAGGAGCACTGAACGCCGGGGCCAGCTGGGCCTCCGAACCGAGAATGTCAGTGCAGGGAGCACCCTCGGAACGCAGAGCTGGGGTAGGAGATGAGGAGGGGCCTGACCGGCTCCCAAGTGCGGCCGCCGCCCCCCTTCTTTAACAGCGGGGGAAACTGAGGCCCAAGGTCACGAGGGCCTCTCGGACCCGGGGCTGCGTCGGCGGGGGAGGGGTGAGGAGCTGCACCGCGCTCCCTGGCCCGAGGCCGCCGGGCTGTCAGGTCAGGCGTGGGGCCGGGAAGAGCCAGGGCCCTCGCTCCCCTCAGGCGGGCCGGGAACAGGGCAACGGGCCGTCTGAGGGGGGCCGGACCGCGGCCCAGGCCCCGGGGCACCAGTGGCCAGCCCAGGTGGGCGGACCTAGGAGGCGGAAGGCAAGGGCTCCCTCCCCGGTCCAGACGGCTGCTTTACCTCAGGGTCGCCGCCGCCGCCTCTCCTTCTCCCGGGCTCTGCAGGCCGCCATTATCGGGCTCCTCGCGCCGCCGCCGCAGCCAGTCCGAGGCCGGCGCGCGCCCCCGCGTGCGGACACACCCCCTTTCCCAGCTTGAGGACCCAACCTCTCCTCCCCCCCAACCTCCCGCTTCGGCCGCACGAGCGCCTTCCCTCATTGGGTGAGCGCCCTCCTAGCGGCTTTCCTTATTGGGCAGGCGCGCCCCGGCGCCCTATCCCCGCCTCCCTGCTTCCTCTTGGATCCAAAGAGCCCTCGCTGTAGCCACACTCCGCCGGCGCTAGGCTCCGGCTTCCAGCTGGGCCTCGCAAGCCGGAGACCGACGCTGTGCACGCGCTGAGGAACGCACCACTCGCTCCCTTCCCCACAGGGGTGGCTGGGCCTGGGCCGGAGGGGAGGAGAGAGAGGCCACCCGCGGGGCTTTACCGCCTCCTCTGTCCGGAGGCTATTTCCCCTCGGCCTCCGGAGTCCTGCGGATCGGCCCGGGAGGACGGCCGGACCCGGCCGCGTCCAGCTCTGCAGCGAGTTGGGCTCCGGCCTCTCGCAGAGCCAAGGGCAGCGCCGTCTGGCCCGTCCCCGTCCGGGCACCTACCGTGCGACTGGCTTTTTTGCAGCGTTCTCCCCAGTCAGATGCCTTTTGCATTTTCCTCTTTGGCGGGGTGCGGCCGCCTGCGAGGCTCGGGAGGAGGGGGCCCCGGCGGAAGGCGCGACCCCGTCCGGGAAGAACTGGCATCCGCTCCGCCGGGAGGAGAACGCTTTTTGTCACTGGGCCATGCTCACCCGAGCTCGCTGCCGGAGGCACCGGCGGGAGGCCCGGGTCTGGGAGCAGGGTGCGTTCCGTCTGGGAAAATCCGTTCCCCTGCCCCCCGCCCCTTCCCCCAGCGACGCGTTGGTATCTCCCTTAAAGAAGCAGGGACCTCATTGTTCTCCCGGCGGAGGGGGCCCAGAGGGACCCTCGGCATTGCAGCGGAGCGTTTGGGCTGGCTCGGCTTGGCCCGGGCTCCCCTCCTCGCCCGAGCGGCTTGTCTTGTGGGCGCGTCCGGGGAGTGCAGGCACCGCTCTGCGCACCTGGCGTGGGTCTGGAGCGTGCATCAGTCACTCAGCTAACGTTTGCTAAGCTCCTACTACGTGCCAGGGACCGTGCTAGGTGGTGGGAATACAAAGGAAGTCTATTGTCAAGGAGCTCCCCATCCAAGTGAAGGACAAAGTGCAAACAACTGTGTTGCTAAGGTGATATAGACAGGATAATTGTAGATTTTGGAGTTGAGGGGAGGCACCAGCTTGAAGAGGCATCAGGAAAGGTTTCTTGGAGAAGGGATTTTAGCTGAGACTTGACAGTCATTCCAACACTCACTCATAAGTCAAGGGCCAGCAGACATAGCCAACGACCATTCTATCAATCGGAAATCAGTAGAACCAATAGCTATTCTATTAACCAGCTGGTAAAAGCTTCAGCTGCGTAGGAGCCAATAGTCAATCCATTAACCAAGAACCAACAGTAAGTCATTCATTACCCAGGAACTAACAGACTGCCACAGAGTCAAGTCAACAAGCGTTTATTAAGCTCTTACTGTGTGCTAGGCACTGTGCTAACCTTTGAAAATAACAAAGAAAGGCAAAATCGAGCCTTGCCCTCAAGGAGCTTATAGTCTAAGGAGGAAATGACTAAACAAAGACATGATATTTGTGAAATGCTTTGCAAAGCTTAAATTGCTATACAAAGTCTAAATATGTGAAAACAAAATTTAGGGTAAAGTTGGAGGTGATTTCAGAGGGAAGGTCCTACCTGGGTTAGGGAGACCAAGAAAAGCTTCTGCAGAAGGTAGGATTTTAGCTGAGACTTGAAGGAAGCCAGGGAAGAAAGGTAGAGATGAGGAGGGAGAAAATTCCAGGCATGGGGGAAAATAGGGAATGCATGGTCAGGAGATGGGGCATCTTGTAGGAGGAACAGCAAAGAGCGTATGTCACTGGATCGAAGACTAAGTAGAAGAGAATAAAGTGGCAATCATTCAGCCCTCCATCGACCAATAATAGTGAAGTTCAAAGCCGATATCTTGGCTTCTCACAGACTCCAAAAGGTATTTAGTCAAAGGATATGGGGGTCATTTTATATCTGCCCTTGTATGTTTAGCATGTCTCCTCTCTTTATCTTGTACAGATGCGCTGGCTCATATTTTGTCTTCCCCCAAGGATTGCTTTTTATTTCTAAACTCCAGAGTTTAGCACAATGCCTGGCATTTTGCAAGCTTTTAATAAATGTTGATTGATTGACACCTGCCGGAGGGAGAGGGATTAAATTGTTCTAAGCAACATTTAGCCCTCAAGATCCCTTTCTGTACAAGTTACTGTCTTATTCTGAAAGACTTATGATGAAAAATGCTCTCCACCTCCAGAGAAAGAATTGATGAAATCTGAATGCAGATCGAAGCATACTTTTTTACTTTCTTTATTATTCTTGTTGGGTTTTGGGGGGGGGGGTTTGTCTTCATTTTCTTTGGCAGCATGGCTAATATGGAAATGTTTTGCATGACTGCACATGTATAATGCATGTCAAATTGTTTTCTCAAGGAAGGGAGGGAAGGAAAGAATTTGGAGCTCAAATTTTTTAAATGTTAAAAAATTTTGTTTACATGTAATTGAAAAAAAATTAAACACACAAAAAAGGTCACTGTCCTGAGAGCCAGAGCTTTTTTTTATTCATGGATGAAGTCAGACAACCAGTCAAGAAACACTTTTGAGCCATCCTTAGAGTGCTATCAGCACTTTGCTGGTTGTTATATATGAAAACTAGGGCAGCTAGGTGAAGTGGATAGAACGCTGGGCTTGAAATCAAGAAGATTCATCTTCTATGAGTTCAAATATGGCCTAAGACACTTACTAGCTGTGTGATCCTGAGCAAGTCATCTCACTCTGTCTCAGTTTCCTTATCAGTAAAATGATCTGGAGAAAGAAATGGCAAAGCACTAGTGTCTTTTCCAAGAAAACCCCAAATGGGGTCACAAAGAGTCTGAAATGAATGAAATAACTGAACAATAAAAATATTCGCAGATCTTTTCCATTTTCTCCTGAATGTTGTCTTCCTTCCAGCTTTAAATGTCTGTGAGACGACCAATCTATTGAATCTGTTGCTGAGCTTTCTTTAAACTTGTTTAATTTTACCCTCTACTGTTTCTCTCTGATTCATGGGGCAATACAGCTCATAAACAATTCAAGAGTATACTGGTGCCTGTTTAAATTGGAGAGCCAATAGTTTAATTTTTAGCATGAGCATTTACACTTCGAAAATCAGTAAATTGCTAAACAAAACAATCTGGGTTTTGATTTATTGTTTTGTTAATTGTCTAGACTTAAGAAAATGATGGAGAAAACCTTACTAGTGTATATTAAACTTAAAAATATGGCAGCCTGTGGGTACAGCCCAACCCCCAATGCCTAGCCAGCTGTTAAAAATTTACCAGTAATCATCCATCTCCTCTGTAAGGTTTTACAAAGGAATTTATATTTTAATCAGTGCTGCCTTCGGTCACCATCTCTCTGTGCGTGACAAGAAAGTCAAGGATTTGCTAATTAATGTGTTTTTAAGGCTCTCTTGCTCTGTTTTTTTTTTCATTTGATTTACATCTATTAAACTTCTGTATGAAATTATTATAATCTGTCATTCCTGCTGTCCATTACCCATTTCCCCCAACCCATCAATCATACGTTTAAATACTTTAGGATTGAGTTGTTTGAATTTCATTTTTCTCGTTATTAGTCCAACTGGTTACTCATTCTGATCTTTGCTCTAACAAGTCAGTAGTCTGATGTGTGCTTTAGGATGACTTTGATATCAATAGTGAGTGTTTTTCTGTCCATCAAAGTAGAATCAGTTTAATTTTTTTCTTAATTTTTGGTGGTTGTTAAGTAGTTGCCATTACCAATTCCTAGAAATTCTTTTTTTTTTTTTGGCTAGGCAATGGAGTTAAGTGACTTGCCCAGGGTCACACAGCTAGTAAGTGTTATGTGTCTGAGGTTGGATCTGAACTCGGGTCCTTCTGAATCCAGGGCTGGTGCTCTATCTACTGCACCACCTAGTTGCCCCCAATTCCTAGAAATTCTTGAAAAAAGTGTTTATTGTGTAAAAGCATGAGGCCTTTGGGTAGTCTATGATCCCTTGTCTCCTTTCCTTCCTTCTTCCAGATCAGCACTTTCTGATATATCTTTCCCTCACTGGTTCCCATCTTCTCCTTGTCATGTCATCTGCCACACCACTACTGCTGCCCTACTTCTCCCCACATGGACCAGCTCCCTGTAGAATAAGTGCCCATAGTCCCTGGGGAAGTTCCCCTGCTCTGCTTTGGAATGCCCACCCACTTGAGGACTGACTCTTTCTGAACACATGCAGACTTGCCTAGCCCCCTATATCTAATCAGCTCCAGACCCGGTTGTGTTCTACCTGCCAACGCAAGCCCTCCTCTGAGGTCTTCTTGCCACGTACCCTGGTGCCTGTGGTTTTGGGAAAGGTTTGTTGTTTAGCTGCTCAGCTAGTAAGCATCTGGGGCTGGATTTGACCCTAAGTCTTCTTTGACTCCAGGCCCAGTACTCTATCCACTATACCACCAGCTGGTAAAGTTAATGGGTAGGGATATATTCCCTTCCTCCAAACTCATGAATAAAGCATTTTTCCGAAATGCACAGAAGAAAAAGAAATACTGAAGGGTATACAGAACATTTTTCATTACTTTATTAAGATATATGTATACATATACATATATGTATAGGCATTTTTCAAGGAAGAAATAAAAGTTATCAATAATCCTATGAAAAAATATCCTAAATCATTACTGATTAGAGATATACAAATTAAAACAACTCTGAGGCATCACCTCCCATCTACCAGATTGGATAACTTGGCAAAAGGAAAATGTTAAATGTTGAGGATGTGGACACTAATATGCTGTTGGTGGAGTTGTGAACTGATCCAAGCATTCTGGAGAACAATTTCTACCTATGCCCAAAGGGCTATAAAACTCTGCATACCCTTTGACAGAGCAATATTGCTTGTTGCTAGGGCTGTATCCCTCAAAGGAAAGGGAAAGGGACTTATATGTACAAAAAAAATTCACAACAGCTCTTTTTGTGGTAGCAAAGAATTAGAAATTAAGGGGATGCCCATCAATTGAGAAATGGCTGAACATGTGGTATATGATTATGATGGAATACTATTGTGCTGTAAGAAATGATGAGCATGGGGGCAGCTAGGTGGCACAGTGAATAGAGCTCTGGCCTTGGAGTCAGGAGGACCTGAGTTCAAATCTAGCCTCAGACACTTAACACTTACTAGCTGTGTGACCTTGGGCAAATCACTTAACCCCAATCGCCTCACCCCCCCAAAAAAAAGCAAAAAAAAAAATGATGAGCAGGATGGTTTTAGAAAAATGTAGGAACTGATCAGGTAAGCAGAACCAGGAGAAGGTTGTACACAATAATAGCAATATTGGGGGGCAGCTAGGTGGCACAGTGGATAGAGCCCTGAAGTCAGGAGGACCTGAGTTCAAATCCGGCCTCAGACCAAACATTTGACACTTACTAGCTGTGTGACCCTGGGCAAGTCACTTAACCCCAATTGCCTAAAAAAAAATAGCAATATTGTAATGATGATCTGACAATCAACTGTGAAAGACTTAGTTACTCTGACCAATACAATGATCCAAGACAATAGAGAGAGAAATAATGAAATCTGAGTGCAGATGGAAGCATATTTTTTCACTTCATTTTTCTTGCCTTTTTAAAAAAACAACATGTCTAATATGGAAATATATTTTACATGACTTCACATGTATAATTGATATCATGTTGTTTGCCTTCTCAATGGGTAAAGGAAGAGTGGGAGGAAGAGAGAATTTGGAATTTAAAAAAATTTCAAATGTTTAAAATAAATAAAATTTTAAAATAGGTATGTGTGGAGGGGGGGTGCTACCATTGTAAAATGTTATGTGGCCTTTCAGATAAGGTCTGAAATAATTTGTATTATTAGTTTTATAGACCTGTTTTACTTTGTTATGAGAAACTTCTCAAAGAACCTAAATGTAAAGTAAAAAAAAAAATCAGTAAAACGAAAGAAGAAAAAAGAGGAGTTAGCTTCTGACTGAGGTCCTCTCAACTTCAGCTCTCCAGATGGGACATGTGACTCCAGTTCAAGGTGGGAAAGATCATGTCTTTTTCTACTCTTGTATGATGACAACCCAGCCTCCAGTCCTTACCTGAAGTGTAGACTTAACTAGGTAAGCTTGTGTGGGGCCTTTACCTCTTTTCTGTTTGTTTTTTCCTGATCTTAGGTGAATGAGTACCCCAGGATGGATATGTCTAGGTTCCTCAGCTTCCTGGCCAGTGTGAAAGTTCCAGAGTCCTTGGGTTGAGATTGGAGGTGGCTTGGAGCCGTAGTGGTGGGTTGTGACAGGTGCAGGAGCAGTTGACCATGGAATTAGCTGAGCAAAGTTCAGGGAAGATTCTGTTTGAAGTAAACCTGAGGAAAAATGTAAAATGTCTATTCAGCAATCTCACAGACTGCTTTATGGTCTGATAAAACATAAGGGTGATCTTCTCAACATACTATACGGATGGTTTTACAGATTGGGTTATTGAATCCTATTCTGTTAATGCATGCTTATAAGGTTGGTTTTTTTTTTAATGTTTAACCTTTTTGTGTGTGGGTAGGAATATAATGCATATCTCATACCTCATTCATATTATGGGTTGAGTACTATTTTTTTTCACTTTCTCCCTTTTGGGGAAATCCTAGACTTGTAAGCCACAATCTAAATGACTATAATTAAATCATCCCAGGATGCTGGGAGGAAGGAGGAGATTTAAGAGGCAATGAATGTGAAAAAAGGGAACCACTTCCCACCAGAGGCCAGGCTCCCCAAACCACATGCTAGGTTTGAGAGCAAGGAGAGGCCCCATACTCCAGGCTTTATTGGCCCAGCCTTGGTACCTAAGGCTTGATGTATTTCCAGGACAGACGGACAAAGAGTTGAATTCAGAATTAAACAAGAGAAGAAGGGTCTTGGCTGCCCTCAGGAAGTTGCAAAGCTTCATTAATGGCCCCAAGGGTCCACCAAAAGCAAAGACCTATCTTTTTAATACCAATATTCTATCAGCATTGTGGCATGTCTGTAAGACATGTAACACAGCTGTCTCCAAAGTATTGAAAATGGATATCAGTGACACAGAGGACAACGAAGAGGTACAGTCCTGGATATGAGCAGGCTGCAACGTATAACTGACAAGGAACTCTCAAAAAAGCATAAAAGTAGGAGAAATCATCAAGGAAATACAGGAAAGGTAAACCCAATGGGCTCATCACATGGCAAGAGTGAGGGGTGCCAAGTGAACCATCAGAGTGCTCCATTGCTATCCTTGTGGTGTCAAGAAAAAATGGGAAAGAACTCTAGCATGTTGGGTAGACCCTCTGGGACAAACTGATACCACAAGGATGAGTTGTCTTCTGCATCATTGGAAGGGACAACCAGGTAAGAACACAGATCTATTTGAATATTTGACATGAAAAAACTGCAGGCTTTGAAGAATCAGTTTCCTGGGACTAACAGGGTTTCATAGAAGAATTAGATGAGGCAGTCAATGTTGAAAGCAATGGGCCCTTTTATTTGGAATATTTATGGGAAAGCCGCTATGAGAAGGCCATGTTGTTTAAAGGGAAATGATATTCGATGGAGTGGAAGGTAGGAGCAAGAAGGAGATAATAACCAAGGCAGCCCACTGGTATTCCCACTTATCTTGTGATCTTCCTTAATGCTAGCACCTTCCTTTAGAAATGATCTCCAAATTGTCCTGTGTATTTCTTGTGTCTAAGGTAGTTTGCATGTTGTCCCCTCCATTAGAATGTGAGCTCCTTGAGGAGCTTTTGTCTTTCTTTGTGACTTTAGTACTTAGCACAGTGCCTGGCACATAGTAGGTGCTTAATAAATGCTTGTTGACAACTTGACACTGGCGTTGGGACTAGGACTTTGAAAATGGTAAACACGAATGAACAAACTAAGGACTAAACAAGGGTAAACTATGCATTCAGATATGGGGAGATGATACATGTGTCCTCTCTGAACCCTCTTCTGTTACCATCTGTGGTCAAAGAGCGAGTCTAAGTAGGCAAGCCCCAAGAGTGGTTCTATTATATCTTGATGATCATAAGAGAAGAATAGACAGACAGGGGAAGAGGAATATATGGGGGGATTGGGGAGAGAAAGGAAAGTTAGGGTATATCATCTCACACAATCAGGTGTGCAAATAGCCATCTGAGACGAGTGGAGGGGGCAGCTGATATGTCAACCTTACTCTCACCCGACCTGGTTAAAGGAGAGAGAGAGAGAGTGAGAGAGAGAGAGAGAGAGAGAGAGAGAGAGAGAGAGAGAGAGAGAGAGAGAGAGAGAGAGAGAGAGAGAGAGATGAGCTGGGTACAAAAATACACTTCACTCAACAGGGAAGGGGAAGAAGGGGGAGAGGGAATTAGAGGAAGGCAGATTAAAGGAGGGATTAACCCTAAGCAAAATAACTCTAAGGATGTACCAAAATATTTATAGCTCCGTTTGAGGTGGCAAAGAATAGCAATCTGAGGGAGTGTCCATAAACTGGGGAATGGCTGAAGAAGTTATGGTATTGGAATGTGATAGAATACTATTGTGCTCTAAGAAATGAGGAAGAAGAGGATTTCAGAAAACCTGGGAAGACTTGTAGGAACTGATGCAAAGTGAAGTGAATAGAACTAGGAGAATTATTTATACAATGGCACAACAATATGTTTGTTAGAGACAGGCAACTTTGAAAGAATTAGGAACTCTGCTCAGTGTTAATGACCCAACCATAATTCCAGAGGACTGCATGCTACCCACCTCCTGATAAAGAGAGGAAAGACTCAGAGTGCAGAATGAGATGATTTTTTTTTAGGACATGGCCAATGTGGACATTTATTTTGGTTGACCATATGTATTTGTAGGGCAGCTGGGTGGCAGAGTGGATAGAGTTCCCAACCTGTAGTCAGAAAGACTCCTCTTCCTAAATTCAAATCTGGCCTCACACACTTACTAGTTGGGTGACCCTGGGTAAGTCACTTCACCTTATTTGCCTTAGTTTCTTCATCTGTAGAACAAGCTGGAGAAAGAAATGGCAAACACTCCAGTATCTCTGCCAAGAAAACCCCAAACAGGGTCACGAAAAGTCAGGCAGGACTGAAACAACAACTTGAACAAGCACCATCAGCCTTCTGTGCCTTAGTTCTCTCATTTGTCAAATAAGTATAATAATAGCATCTACTTCATAGGCTGGTTGTGAGGAAAGTGCTTTGTAAACTTTAAGCACTATGGAAATCTGATGTATTATTTTTTAGACGTATTTCCACGTTAGTCATGTTGTGAAGGAAGAGTCGGAACAAAAGGGGAAAACAACGGGAAAGAAATCCAATCTATTATTACCATGAGATGTAGTTTCTTCCATCATAGAACTCAGTCTAGAATGGAGATACAGGAAGTACAGCTAACTTTAATAGATAAGACCATATGCTATTTGTATCCAAAAGGTAGAACCAAAGTGTGCTGGATTTGGAATTATAGGACCTGGGCTTGAATCCCACCTTTGCCATTTACAATCTGTGAGATTCTGGGCAAGTCACCTGACCTCACGGGGCCGCAATTTCCTTATCTTTAAAATGGAGCAGGGCAGGGTTGCGCTAGATAACTTCTAACCTACATTCTAGCTATAAATCTACAGTCCTGTGGTAAAAGTGGTCTTTCCCTCCTCGAGTTCTCGTAGCTTTGTCTGGGCCTCTCCTGGGCATTGTTACTTTATATATTATCATCCTATTAAAGTTATTTCTGGATCTGCCTTATCCCCACTTGTTAGATAGTTAAGCTCCTTAAGGGCATTTGAGTGACAAGTCCCCAATGCCTAGTCCAGTGCTGTCCATGGTAGGTTTTTTTTTAACTATCTGTTGAATTATATGGAATTGAGCTGGAATTAAGGAAACCTTTAGCCCCTCTTAGCCAGAAAAGTATGGACAGGTAAATTAATGCACTCTGGTGGTGTCCAGCAGAGGGCTCAGCCTTTGGTTAGCCAGCCAGTAGCCTGTCCATCATAATGCTTATGGTAGGCACTAGCATGAAGCAACACTGACCCCTAGTGGCATGTGTCATTAATACAGGAGACAGCTGGGTTCCTGGCTTTGGAATGAACACTCAGTCAACCCAGGATCCTAGGATTTAGAGCTAGAAGGGACTGTATTTTATTTTATTTTATTTTATTTTATTTTATTTTATTTATTTTATTTTATTTTAATCAATAAATATTTGTTAAGCATCTATTATGTACTGGCCACTATGCTAAGTTCTGAGGATATAAAAAAGAGGCAAAAGACCATTTCTGCCCTCTAAGAGCTTACAATCTAATGGGGAAATAATATCCAAATATATGCAAAGCAAGCTATATACAGGATAAATAGGAAATACGTATTTTTAAAATTGTTAATTCTGAACCTAACAAACACCAACTAAAATGAGCAATTCCGTATACACTGTAGGACAGGAGGAGATTATCATGCAACTGTGAATCTATTTTCTAGGGCTTACTTTTCTTTTTAAGTATATGATAAATCCATCATATAACTTTTTTTTTTTGGCTAGGCAGTGGGGTTAAGTGACTTGCCCAGGGTCACATAGCTAGTAAATATTATGTGTCTGAGGCTGGATTTGAACTCAGGTCCTCCTGACTCCAGGGCTGGTGCTCCATCCACTGTGCCACCTAGCTGCTGCCCACATCATATAACTTTCAAAGATGTCCTGTCCCTCCATGATTCCTAGGAGAGATTTTAGAGGTTATCTAGTCCTACCCACTTATTTTACAGATAAAGAAACTGAGGCCCCAGGAGGCTAAAAACAATTATGTTTGTAAAGTCTTTTGCAGATCATATTGTTGATAGTGAGGCTGAGCTCCAATCAACTTGATGAGATAAGACGGTCTGGAGGCAATGAAAGGACTCTTCACATGGTATGTTGCTGAGAGACAGAGGGAATTCTTCCCCAGTGTCTGGGGCTGGCTCAAAGATGACTGGAAACTGAGACTAAGCAGGAATGGCTTCTGGTCAGAAGCATCCCCCTTTCTTCCTCCCTTGCCCCATTTGTGGTCTATAAAAGGCAGCTGGTAGTACTTTTCTCTGTCCTTCTCCTGAAGTTCCAGACGAGTTCAACGAAAGGGACCTGCATAAGGGACCATTGATGGAGGGGAGAGAAGAAATCTGTCCTTGTGAACAGTTTTTTTTTAATTGTCCATGTCCAAAAATGTATGTCCCATTCTGAACCTTGAATCCATCACCTCTCTGTCAGGAGGTGGGTGCCTTGTATCCACAATGATTCTCTACAATCCTAGCTCTACCTTGGCAGTTAATGGATGCAAGAGAAGCACATCTGTTCTTGACCAGGTGCCCTGAGATTCCCAGTCCTCGCTCTGCTGGAACCTTCTGCTTTTTTGTTTCCTTGGTTCCTAAGAATGGATAATTTCCTACCAGAAAAGCTGGGGCATTGATCCAGTTTCTGCAGGGGCACATGGAAGGGATAGATTGATATGTGCTTGCAAGGCACCTCACTATAGATTTTCCTGGCTTTGGGAGTTACCTCTCAGGGAATCCAAAACTGAAGCATTCCCAAGTTCAAGTGGATAGGCAGATCCTTCTGGAGGGAGATTTCCTCATCAGGGTACAATGTACTTATATCACTTATAGCTGAAGGACTAAAGCCATGTCATGGGAAGAAAGGCAGAACTCTAGACTGGGTAACCCAGCTATTGCTTTGAATTCCTCTTCCAGTGGTGGTACATGGGAAGGAGATTTGTCCAACAGCCTCCCAAAGTATATTTACATCACAGAGAGACTCTAATGGGATGTTTATATATTTCTCTATGTATCATATAAGATAATATTTGTAAAGTACTCAGCACAGTGCTTGGCACATAGCAACTACTTAGTAAATGTATGTTCCCTTCCCCAGCCTTCCCTCTGTCCATCGATCCCTGTGAGTCCTGTGTATCTCATGCATTTTCTGTGGAGGCAAAATAAAGGCTATCCCACACCAGACGCCCATAGTATACACTGAGGGGCCCCTGTTATTTGGGAAACATAAACTGTATCATAAGGATATTTAGAGATTTTCTTAAAGCACTCCAGATGAAGACAATCTGAGCAAAGAGAAACTGACCCCTTAGGATCACCACCACCCCCAGGATAAGACTTGGCCCATATGAGCCCAGAGTCTGGAAGGACCCAGGACCACAGGTTACATTATGAATACTGAAAATACTCTAACAGACCTGTCATCTTATCAACGTGGATGTTTCCTCTAATGATGCCAGTCATAACCCATCCATAGCCGTTCATCCTGTGAGACTCTTCTCCATGTCTTTCTAGAAGTCCACTACAGTGGACTAACCAGTGTGCTGAATCTTGCCCAATTTATCTTGACATGCCAAAGAGACCAGTGAGGTACACAGCCTGACCTTTGATTATCCCACACCTTTAACCCAGGAATAGTCCACTTTCTTTTTCTTTTTTTGCTTTTTGGTGAGGCAGTCAGGGTTAAGTGACTTGCCCAAGGTCACACAGCAAGTAAGTGTCAAGTTTCTGAAGCAGGATTTGAACTCCGGTCCTCCTGATTCCAAGGCCCAAGCTCGATCCACTGCGCAACCTGGCTTCCCCCTTCTTTTTTCAATTGTACATTTCTTTAATGACATCCTTCTTGCATTTTTGTGTTGCCTCCTGCCCACAGCCACCACCCACCCTTCCATTGCTCTTTAAATAATACTTATATTTAATGCTTTGGACACTGTTGGGTTCCATGATTCAAAGGCATACATCCACAGGTAGAATGTGGGTATTAAAAAGATGGACCTTTGTTTCAGGGAGAAGTTTGGGATCACTAAAGGGGAACAGGGCAAGGGAATTAAGCATTTATACAGCTCCTACTATGTGCCAGGTGTTGTGCTGAGTGCTTTTTATAGATATCGTTTCATTTGATCCTCAGAATGACCCTCCCAACAAGGTAGGTACTGCTGTTATCCTTATTTTACAGTTGAGGAAACTGAGGTTAACAGAGGTTAAGTGATTTGCTGAGTGTCACATTGCTAACAAGTACCAAGATTTGAACTCATGTCTTTCTGACTCCAACCCAGCATCCAATCCATTGGGCCACCTAGCTTTCCAATTTCCCAAAGATAATCCAGCATACTTTCTTCCTCTTGTTTAAATGTGGGCACAACTTGTAATTAATCTGTGGTCTGTCAAATATATATACGCATGCATACATGTATACATATACACATGTGCATGTATATGTACTGTTGAATGAATTCTACGTTATTACTATAGAGAGAGAGATTTGGGGTAGGGGGTCTGGACTTGTGATTTCATCAACCTGGGAAACTGGATGTGGAAACTCTCTCCACTGATCCAGACTGGCAATTTAGCTGCAATATATAGTCTTGGAGAGTCACCTGAAGCACTGAAAAGTTAAGTGACTTGGCCAGGGTCATGCAGCCCATATTATAGCAACAACAACTAGTATTTATGTAGTGCTTCAAGGTTTGCAAAGTATTTACAAATAGTATCTCGCTGTTGTTGTTCAGTCATTTTTATTTATTTATTTTTTTAATTTTTATTTTTGGCTAGGCAATGGGGTTAAGTGACTTGCCCAGGGTCACACAGCTAGTAAGTGTTATGTGTCTGAGGCCGGATTTGAACTCAGGTCCTCCTGAATCCAGGGCCAGTGCTCCATCCACTGCACCACCTAGCTGCCCCTAGTCATTTCAGTCACGTCCAACTCTTCGTGACCTCATTTGGGGTTTTCTCGGCAAATGTACTGGAGTGGTTTGCCATTCCTTTTCCAGCTCATTTTACAGATGAGGAAACTGAGGCAAACAGGGTGAAGTGACTTGCCCAGGGTCACACAGCTAGTAAATGTCTGGGACTGGATTTGAACTCAAGTCTTCCTGACTCCAGGCCCACCACCACCTAGCTGCCTGGATCTCATAATTACTCCCTCCCCCCTTTTAGATGAGGAAACTGCGACAGACTTGCCCAGGGTAACATAGCTAGGAAGTGTCTTTGAGTCAGCATTTGGACTTAGGGCTTCCTGACTTTTAAGTCCACTGTGTCACCCAGTGGCTGTGTCCAGTTGTGTGTGTAGAGACAGGACTAGATCCTAGGTCCTCCTGACTCTAAGGATGGTCCTCTAGCTCCCATGTGGCTTGTGTGTGCATTTGTGTGTCTGTGTGGGTCTGTGTATATGAATAAATGCCCATAGGACAGCGATAAGAAGTCAGACTTGTGACTTCATGGATAGAGGGAACGCACAGGTGACAAACTTGCCTGAAGCGCTAGGAGTTTAAATGACTCATCCAGATTCCCACAACCAATGCATGTCAGAAGGAGGACTTAAGCCCAGATCTTAAGGCTTTGAGACCTACTCTCTCTCCCCCTACAGAGATGTACATATAGGTATTGTGTGATATAAAATGTTTGTCACCTATTATAGCATGCATTATGTATATGCAATACTGAACACAGACTGTCCCAAAAGTCTTAGTGCCTTCTGGAGCTATTAAATCTTATTTAACTCTGTTAAGCTTAAAATAAAATAACTGAGCTATTAAAGCATAAAACTGCTTTAAGACTTTGGGGACACCCTGTATAAGTTAACACAGTGCCTGGCACATAGTAGGTACTTTATAAAGGATCTTAGATTGATTGTTTGAATGACTGACAAGACACTATGTCTCTTGACTCCAGACCTTCTCTCTGGCTGTCACGCATGCCTGGAACGCTTTCCCTCCTCTGTTCCAATGTTTAGCTTCCTGGCTTCCTTTAAATCCCAATTAAAATCCCTTCTTTTACTGACAGCTTTCCCCAATGCCTCATAATTCTAGTACCTTCCCCCTGTTAATTATTTCCTCTTTATCTTTTACATAGCTTTTTTGTACATTTTTGTTTGCTTGTTATCTTCCCCATTAGCTTGGGAGTTTCCTGAGGAAGTCTTTTGCCTCTTTTTGTATCCCCAGCATCTAGGACAGCACCTGGCACATAGTGGGGACTTCTATTTATTGAGTTCTATTACTATTATTATTATTACACATTAAGGTTTACTAAGTGCTTTCATCCCTACTAACCCCTGGTTCCTAGCTAGAGTACCCAGTTCTAGAGAAGAGAGCTCCTCAGATTTCAGGCCCTGGACTTTGGTCCCTCTTTTTCCTTCCCCAGGGTATTAAGAGGACAATGATGTTTATTCAGGACCCAACCAACTGACAGTTGATTTATTAGTGGTTTTGAGAGGAACAAGTCTGCTGATGGCTTAGAGCTGTTCTTGTGTGCCCAGGGAATCTTGGTCATTATGTCAGGGGATGATGACTTTTCAGGTGTCTCCCAGGAAGGGCTGAGAATAGATTCAGCAGCTGCTTTGGGGACACCCTTGTGTGGCCCTAAGAGGGGCTACCCCTTGTTGGAACAAGGAAGTGCTGCTTTGGGTCAAAGAGACAAAACTGGGATCCCTTAGACGAGAGCTCTTGGACTTTCCCGATGAGCCCACCCCTCTCCTTTTCCCTCACCCATTCCCACCCCCAAAAAACCAAGCAACAAGGTCCTCTACACACCCTGAAAACTGAGGCCAGACCCTTTTATCCTACCTTCATGCCCCTTTTTCATGGTGAGTCATGTAAAGTGGCAAACCCTCAGGAAGCTGTTCAGGGTACTAGCCCTTTTTTATCACAATGGCAGAAATCTTAGGAGGCAAAGCATGTACGTACAAGCAGGCAGATCCCAGATAGGCAGCCCAACCAGAGAAGCCAGCTCTGTCTAGCTTAACACACTGGCTTTTCCAGTCTAAACTACTGCACCTCCAAGGCTGGCTAAGTAATCTATCTCATACCTTCCCCAAATCCTAGAAGAAACTGAATTTGAGGGGTGTGAAGAAAGTCCGGATATGGTGTGAGGCTCGGAGCAGAGTACAGTATAAGTTTCATATGTGAATATTTTTCATATACTGAGCACCTACTATTCACTAGGCACTGTGCTAGGGTCTATGTCCTTATAAAAGGTAAGCGATCTGCCCTCATGGAGCTTACATTCTATTAGGGGAACACAATGAATATTTGGCAGTGGTGGCTTGGGAAGGCAGCTTTGGTCTAGGCTTGGGATTCTCAATCTTTATGTCCTGGACTTCCTTTGGCCATAAGTCTGATGAAGGCTGTGGACACCTTCTCAAAATGTGGTTTTTTTTAATGAATAAAATGAAATATATCAGATTACAAGCAAAAGTAATTATATTGAAATAGTCATCAAAATATGAAGGGAAAAAAAACCCAGCCACATTCACAAACTCCAGGTTAGGAAACTGCTGATGGTATCCATGGGGATTATAAATGGAGATATGGGAAGTCAGTTGTCACCCCCTTTCCAGAAGCAATGTCGATCTTGGTTTGATTTGTCCAACAAGAAGTTAAAAGCGGGAGTAGGGGATGGGAGAGAAGAGGCTGATTCTTAAACCCAAAGAGGACAAGAGACTTACCCAAGGTCATACAGCTGGGAATCAAACCCAGGTCTTCCCAATCCGGGGCTCTTTCTACCTCATTCTGCTCCAGATTCTGCCAGAATCTGTTCTTCATTCACTGTGAGCACTTCTGCTGCTGATCTCCACCCTTCTGAGCCTCAGCAAACGGTCTTCATGAAAGGCTGTGAATGACCAATCCTCTGGTGACGGATGGACCTCCATACACTGAGCTCATCTGGTTCTTGGATGACAAGCACATTGCCCATTAATAAGATGATAGGTTTAGAATTGGGGGCAGGGCTATCAAATCCTGCCTCCTTATTTAACAGGGGAGGAAACTGAGGCCCAGAGAAGTTAAATGATTTGTGCAAGGTCACACAGTTGGTCAGTGTGGCAGAATTTGAACCCAGGTCCTCCTGCCTCTCTAGGGGATGTGCCTTTTAAGGCATTATTTTAATTATATTATATTTAATTAATTATATTTAAGGCATGATCATTATTTCCTCCTATCTCCTCCAGGAGCTTGCCCCCTTAGATCATTCTCTATCTTTGTCTGTTTCTCTCTCCTCTGTCTGTCTCACTCATCAATAAGTCATTTTTTTTCAGTCACGTCTAACTCTTCATGACCCCATTCAAGGTTTTCTTGGAAAAGATATTGGAGTGATCTGTCATGTCCTTCTGCAGTTCATTTTACAGAAGAGGAAACTGAGGCAAACAGGGTTTAGTGACTTACCCAGGGTCATAGAGCTAGTAAGAATCTGAGGCCAGGCTTGATCTCAGGAAGATGAGTCTTTCTGACTGTAGGTCCAGCACTCTATGCACTATGGCGCCACCTAGCGGCCCCTGTCTCTCTCATACACATATCTTTAACCTGGTAGAATGGAAAGTGCACTAGCTTTGGAATTGGAAGATCTGGGTTCACATCCCATCCCTGCCATGAAGTGACCTCGGACCAATAATTTAACGCCTGGGGGCCTCAGTTTCCCCATCTGTAAAAATTAAGGAGGTTGGACTAAATAGTCTTTAGAACTAAGTCCAGCTCTAAATCTCAGATCCTTTGTAGCTACCAGCTTCCTTGCCTACAAATCTGCCCAATTTTCCCCCAATCTTAAAAAAAAAAAAAAACTTTCAGTTGGTCCTGCCTTCCCCTCAGGCTATCATCCTATAGCTCTCATTTATACCCCAGCCACACTCCAGAAAAAAACAGCAATTTACATTCTCTGCCTTCACTTTTTCACCTCCCACTCACTTCTGAATCCCTTGCAATTTGGCTTCTAAGTCCCACCACTTGACTGACATGGCTCTCTTTGAGGCTGCCAAACAATCTCTTGGTGACAAGTCCACTGGCTTCTTCTTAGTGCTCAGCCTGGACTGCTCTGTAGCTTCTGACACTGTTGCCACCCCCAACCCCCATGCTTCCTCCTCCCTTAGCTTTTCTGACACTTTTCCTTCTGGGTGTCCTCCCACCTGTCTGACCTGTTCTTCTCAATCTTTTTTGCTGGCTCATCACTCACGTCCTGCTCCTTTTCCAGAAGGAAGGACACACAACAAGCTCTACTTGGCTGGGTATCCCCAAAGTGCTTTCCTGGGCCCTCTTTTCTCTCCACAGCCTCTCTTCTTGATGATCTCATTAGCTCTCATAGTTACAATCTCCTCTTTTATGGAGATGACTCCCAAACCTACAAATCCAACTATTCTGTCTCCTGAGTTTCAGTCTCACGTCACCATTTTATTTTCACAACAACCCTTTAAGATCGAGGTTATTATTGGGGCAGCTAAGTGCTGCAGTGGATGGAGCACCGGCCCTGAAGTCAGGAGGACCTGAGTTCAAATCCTGTCTCAGACCAGACACTTGATACTAGCTGTATAACCCTGGGCAAGTTACTTAACCCCAATTGCCTCATATTAAAATTTTTTTAAAAAAAAGATAGAGGTTATTATTAACCCCATTTTACAAATGAGGAAACTGAGGCAAATAGAAGTTAAGTGACTTGGCCAGGGTCAAGATATGAGATATAAGGCAGGATTTGAACTCAGGCCTTCTTGATTTTAAGGCCAGAGCTCTGCACACTTAACAGCCACTAGGAAAGAGAGAGATCGCATACCAATAGGAGACAGATCACATACTGAGGAATCCTGAATCACAAAGTATTATGTCTGAATCACACAGTATTATGTTGCAAATACTAGAACAGCAAGAAAAGAGTGGAATGGGACATCCTTACCACAATGGGCCATTCATCAAAACAAGACCCCAAGAATATGGCTGCTTCAGTGGAGGTCACAGTAAGATGTTTACAGTATTCAAGGGAGCTAAAGCCAGGGAATGAATGCAATAAGCTGTTGTGCAAAAGACCAGGCAGAGGCAGAATGGGAAAGGTGCCCATCTTCTTGCTTTTATTTTGTCCTAGTTCCAGTAAATGGGACAGAGTGTTCAGACACTCAGGCCACTGTTGTTTTCTTCTAAAAGAATGAGTTATGCAGTGGAAAGAGCCCTGACCTAGGAGCCAGGAGCCAGATTCACAGAGTGTCAGGGTTAGAAGGGTTAGAATCTCAGAGGCCACCTAATCCAACCTGCATCTGAACAGGAATCCTTTCTATAACATCCCAGCCTCCATGGGAAGATCATGGGAGCTAAAGCATCCTGTTGCATTCTGAGACAGCTCTAATTGTCATGAAAGGGTTTGGCTTTTTTTTTTTTCATACCAAGCTCTCACTCCCATCATTGCTCCTAGGGCTACCATCTGGGGTCAAGCAGAGGAAGCCTAATCCTTCTTTCACATGCCACTCCTAAAAACACTTGAAGACAACTATTCATGTTTCCCCATCTTCTCTTTTCCAAGTTAAGCATTCCTGTTCCCCTCCAAGTAATCCTCCTGTGGCATGGCCTTTTACCCTCCTGGTTGTTCTCTTCTGATTGCTGACCAACCAATCCACAAGCATTTATTAAGCACCAATTAAGTGAACAAATGGTTCCTGCCCTCAAGGAGCTTCCATTCTAATGGGGTGTTCTCCAGCTTATACATAAATGTCTTTTCCTAAAAGACTCGGCCACAACTGAACACAGCACTCCAGATGTGTTCTGACGAGGGCAAAGGACAGTGGGACTGTCCATCACTTCCTTTGCCCTGGACACTGTGCCTTTATTAATGCAGCCAAAAATCAAATGGGCTTTTCCAGATGCCATACCACACTATTCACTCATGTGGAGTCACTAAATGCCTATACCAAGAGTGGGGAACTTGTGGGCTCAGGTTCAACTGGATCGGACTGATGAATGAACCTTGGAGGTCAGCTGCTCCAGATAATAGGGCACAATATTTGGACATTTCACTAGCAGATCTGCTGCTATGACCTTAGACAAGTCACTCACCTTATCTAATTTAGTTTTCTTATCTGCAAAATGAAAATTTAGAGTGAATGGTCTTTAAGTTCCCTCCCAACTCTGACATCCTGTGTTCTAAGGCCCTTCCCAGATCTGACATTCTGAGTTCTAAGGGCTTCCCCTAACTCTGACATTCTGGGTTCTAAAGTCCCTTCTAGCTCTGACATTCTATGTTTTAAGATTCCTTCTAATTCTAAAATTATATCCCTTTTATGAGGAGATGGGGGCAGGGCACCATGAAGTTGGAGAAGGGAGCAGTGTCAGCTAGGTCCTTCTTAAACAGCAGCTGTGTCTTTCCCAGGCAGGAGCAGATGTTACTGTCACTTGACTCCCTCAGCCCTAGGAGCCATGGGAGAGCCAAAGATTGAGCCAGAGCTCCCCCAGCAATGTTGGCCTCTTGCCCTGCACCCACAGGGGCCATCATGAGGCCCCAGTGAGCCAGCAAGCAAGCTAGAGCCTCACCCAAGCAGCAACTGGGTTCACTGCTTCCTGGAAGCCCCCACCCATTGGACTTAACACTCTTCTTGGAAGCTCAAAAAACTGGGGCAGATCACTCATCTAGCAGGCCAGTGCAGGGCTTCTGGGTTCTTTGTTTGTTCCCAACTGGGAATTCTCCCTCCAGACTTTGCCCCTTCCTTCTTCCCCTCCAGAGCTGCTAGAGGCCTTCCATTGGGGACTGGAGATTTGGGACTATAATGACACCTCCAAGACTCCTGGCTGAATTCCTTTCTTATCAACAGTGGCCTCAGAGGGTAGCTATTAATACCTAGTGGCTGCATTTTTCCTGAGTAGACAGATCTCTTTCCTTCGATTGAACATTTCCAAAGGAAAGCAATGCTGGGTGAGATCCTCTGTCTAAAACCACAAGGGATCCTGAGGAAATAAGTGGTTGTGGGTTCAAGACCCAAGTTTCTCTGTCTCTCTGGCTCTCTCTTTCTCTCTCTTCCTTTCTCTCCCTCTCTGTCTCTCTCCTCTCTCTTCCTCTCTCCTTTCTCTGTCTTTCTTCCTCTCTCTCTGTCTCTTCATCTCTCTCTGTGTCTCTCCTTTCTCTCTCTCTCTGTGTCTCTCCCTCCTCTCTCTCTCTCTCTCTCTCTCCTCTCTCTCTCTCTGTCTCTCTGTCTCTCTCTCTGTCTCTCTCTGTCTCTCTCTCTGTCTCTCTCTCTTCTCTCTCTCTCTCTCTCTCTCTCTCTCTCTCTCTCTCTCTCTCTGTCTCTCCAGCCAAGCAGGGTGTACGTGCCATTTCCCAGCAGCAGGAGGTCTGTAACCTTGGCCCCTTCCCCAGGCCAGATGTCCTTGAAGCCCTGGGCCTGGGTACCGTGTGAAATTCCTCCCAGAGGCCACAGTCTAGTTAGTTCTACTCTTGGACACCTGGCAGTGCTTCTTAAACTGTGGGTCCTGACCGGAAACTTTGCCAACAGTAAAATGTTTCTGGATGCGCAACGACCAAAAATTAGTTCAAAGTCAAACATATAATGAATCCAAGGTGCTTCTGGTAGTGCTTGTCCACATTGCATCCCACAACTTTATGAAAGCTTGGTTCTCAACACACAGCATGTGCACTCTGTACTACACATGCCCTCAGGCCACGCGACTCCAGCAAATACTGTCTAAACTCGAAAAGGGGTCCTGAGTGGAGAAAGTTTAAGCAGCCCTGCCTTAGGGCACCTCAGCTGCCCAACTTGCTTGAGATCCCTTAAGGATCTAGTAAGTAGTCCCCTTGGACCTTCTCAAGAACATGGGTCTACTCATGAGTTCACAAAATTTTAGAGCTAGGGGACCCAAACTATAGGGGGAGGAAACTGAGTCCCAAGGAGAAGTGATCTGCCCAGGCTCATAAAATGAGTTAATAACAGGCCTGGGACCAAAACTTAGTTCTCCTTACTTCCAGTTCAGATCAATGGAAACATTGTATCATAAAGCTTAAGTTGATTCAGTTCACAAAGTATTTATAGAATCCATGATGTGTGTCAGGCACTTTTTTTTTTAATCTACCTGTGATTTCATCAGGGTAGGGAAGCCTTTGGAAGGAGCTTTCCCTACCATCACAGATTGACTTTCTTTCCTCTAGTCAGAGAGCTGCCTGGGCCACTTAAAGGTTAGTGACTTGCCCCCGATCACATAGCCAGTGTGTGGTCAGAGAGAGTGAGGTCTTGAATCCAGGTCTTCATGAATGTCAGACCAGTTCACCATCTACTAAGCCAGGTTGCCTAGATGGGTATAAAAAAAAGAAGTCTATTTTATAGTACCTTCCCTCAGGAAGCTTATAATCTTACTGGTGAAATGAGATTTACAGATGTGAAATAATCATATATTTATATTCTTTTTTTAAAATCTAGAACCATGAATTCTTCACTGTGGGGAAATTCTCTTTATGGAAACTTCCTTCACTGATGAAGTTCAGCAACTGATCTCTAACAGCTTCTATTTTATCTTATTTTATCAATTAGTATTTATTTCCTCTCCCTCCCATTGTCTCCTCCCCTTCCCCTCTGAAAAGGCAAAGAAAACAAAACCTTTGTAATAAATATAGTCTGGCAAAACAAATTCCTACATTGGCCATATTAAAATATGTACATTCTTAAAATATATCATTATTAAGTCCATCACCTTTCTATTAAGAGGTGAGACATCAATTGTCTGGAATCATCATTGGTTATTGCAATTTATTAGAATTCTTAAGTCTTTTGAAGTTGTTTGTTTTTACAAAGTTGTTATTGTATAAATTATTCTCCTGATTCTACTCACTTCACTATGTATCAGTCCACATAAGTCTTTTCAGGTTTCTCTGAAACCATTGATTTTATCATTTGTTATGGTGCAATTGTATGTGATTACATTCATATGTAATAATTTGTTCATCCATTCCCCAACTGATGGGCACTCCCTTTGTTTCCAGTTCTTTGCCATGATAAAAAGAGCTGTTAGAACCAGGAGAACATTGTACATAACAGTAACAGCAACATTGTACAATGACCAGCTTTGATAGACTTAGCTCTTGTCAGTAATGCAATGATCTAAGACAATTTCAAAAGACTCGTGATGGAAAATGCTATCCACATCCAGAGAAAGAACTATGGAGTCTGAATACAGATTTAAATATACTATTTTCTCTTTTTTTTTCTTTCTCATGGTTTTTCCCTTTTGTACTGATTCTTATTTCACAACATGACTAATGTGGAAATATGTTTAGTATGATTGTACATGTATAGCCTATGTCAGATTGCATGCTGTCTTGGGAGAGGAGGGGAGGGAAGGGGGAAATTTGGAACTCAAAATCTTGTAAAAGTGAATGTTGAAAACTAAAAATAAATAAATTTTTAAAAAAGAAAGAAAAAAAACAAGCTACTAGAAATATTTTTGAATATACAGGTCCTTCCTCCCTCTCCCCATCACCTCTTTTTTTAAACCCTTTTGTATAGCTGGGTCAAAGGGTATGCCTAGTTTAGTAATTTGGGGGCCATCATTCCAAGCTGCTTTCCAGAAAGACTTGACCAATTCACAGCTCTAGGAACAGCTAGGTGGCATGGTAGATAGAGCACCAGCCCTGGATTCAGGAGCTCCTGAGTTTAAATCTGGCCTTAGACACGTAATACTCACTAGTTGTGTGACACTGAACAAGCTACTGAACCCCAATTGCCTCATCAAAAAAAATTGAGCCAATTCACAGCCCTGCCAACAGTGCATCAGTGTGTCTTTTATCCCACACTCCTCCAACTTTTGTCATTTTCCTTTAATTCTCAATTTTGCCAATCTGGTGGGTATGAGGTAGAATTTCATATATAACTTAGAGTCTTAGAGAGTTGCCTGGAAGCCCGGACAAGTTAAATGATTTGCCCATGGTCACATACCCAGTATCAGGGACAGGCTAGGAACCCAAGTCTTTCCAACTCCAACTGGCCCACTCTCCATAGTGACACACTGCCTACCTTCATTAAAAGAAGAAAAACTAAATATAAATGAGAACAAGCAACCATTGGTCCCAAAGGTGCATATAAATCCCCCCCAGAATCATTATAATTAATAATAGTCCTCACTCCTATTACACTTGGAGGTTTACTCACAACAAATAGAAATGGGAGCTCTGTCACCGTCATCTAGAACTTGGGCAAATCACTTCATCTCTCTTGGCCTCAGTTTCCCTTCTGTAAAATGTGGATGTGGGCTAGGTGACCTCTAAGGTCTCTCTCAGCTCTAAATCAGTAACCTTGTATTTACTGATCTCTGTACATGTTATATCCTCCCAATAGATTGTAATCTCCTTGAAGGGAAGAACTGCTTTCATTTTCTATCCATATCCCAGCGCCTAGCAGCATCACTTCTTCACATATAGTTTGGTTCATGGAATTGAAGTGTCTACCTTCAGAGAACTTATAATCTAGCAATTAGTAAGTTCATAAAATCATTTACTCTACTAAAATTTGCATTTAGGGCGATTTAATTCAGGGTATTCCAGGAAAAGAAAGCTCTAGAGGTTTCTGCTAGACTGGAAAGGATTTGAGTATGGCCCAGGGACAGGCTGGATACCTTCTATTCTGAGGACCAGATAATTCAGAGAGGCTCATCACCACCAGGTTAGCCAGCGAACAAGGAACTGTAAGGCCACAGCAACTCTTGAAGACAATGGAGCCCTTGTGATCTACGTGGGTAGAAGGACTACCTATACTGACAATACCACAGATGCTTGATTAATAACAACCCACTATACACACACACTCATTCATTCATTCATTCATTCATTCATTCATTCATTCATTCATTCATTTGTTTGTTTATGTTAGCTGTGTAACCCTGGGCAAATCACAACCCTGTTTGCCTCAATTTTCTCATCTATAAAATGAGTTGGAGAAGGAAATGGCAAACCACTCTAGTATCTTTGCCAAGAAAACCCCAAATGAGGTCACAAAGAGTCAGATACAACTGAAACAACCGAACAACATATATGTATATATACATATGTACATACATGTGCATGTATGCATGCATGTGTAATGCATGTATACATAAATGAATGTGTATAAATATATGCATATAATCAGATCAAAGTCTTCAAAATGCTTTATTGTCGATTATCTAATTTGAGGCTTACAACAGCCCAGTGAGGTAGAAACTACAGATATTATTGGTCCTGTTTTACACACGAGACCTGGAGAGGTAAAATGAATTGCCCAGAGTCATACAGTTAGTAAGTATCAAAAGTGGAATTTGAATCCAGGTCTTAATTAATCTGCTTTTTCCCACTACACCAAAGTTAAAGATTCTAAAATCTGTAGGTGAGGAAGAAATACAGTAGTCCAGGAGTGGGGCCCTGCAGCTGGAGGCCACATGTGGCCCTCTAGGTCCTCAAGTGTAGCTCTTTGCACCCCTCTCCTAGTCACTCTGTGAAGTAGGCATGGTTGATATCATTACATCTGTTTTACAAATCCCATACTCTCTTGTGGAATTTACTTATGTTCTCCTGGAAGGCTTTGGGGACTATTAGTAAAGCCTCATAAAGGTTAGGTTAGGCAGGAAGAGATAAGAAGAAAAAGTGGCTCTGTGTTCTGGCGATTGTCTAGTTCCTGGGCCATGGAGGAGCCATGACTCTCTCTATCACACTCCTAAATTCCGTGTCAAGGAGAAGCACCCATGCTCTCTATGATGCCCCTGGTTCCCATGCTGGCACCCTTCCATAAATGACTCACTGTATATCACACCAGCTGTGTGGTGGAGGCAGAGTGGTTAATGGGGAACTGGGGGTAGCACTTTCTAGGAGGTACATGCTGGGTGGAATGCTTAATTCAATGTCCTTCATTTCCTTGCTACCCTGTTTTCATTAAACAGCTTTTACTGATGATTTCATGCATCTAAATGGTTTGGTCTGCATGAAAACACATTGGATGGGGTTCAAGCCAGAAGGGTCAAAAAAGCACCTCTAACCTGCCAAATATTGCAGCCCCCTGAGCTGGATTTGGGGCCCGAAGTCATTTGTGCTACAACTGTAAGACAGTACATTAGAAAGCATTGAATTCGTTCCTTCCAGCTCTAAATCCTGTGAGCTTCTTATTACAACAGATTCCAGAGAGGCTTGTGGCATATAGACAATCAGAGCTGTGAGCCATCAGAAAGGGGAGAGATCAGCATCAACTTCAGTTATCAGGGAAGACTTCTTGGAGGAGGTGGGACATGTAATAATTACACTTTACATTTCTATAGCCAGTCTACACATATTCATCCATTCATTCAACCAGCATTTATCTAGTGCCTGCTGTGTGCCAGGGACTATACCAGGCACCTGAGATACAGAGAAAAAAAAAACAAAACTGAGGAGCTTCCATTTTGCTGGAGTTTACAACAGACAAATAAAGACAACAGAGGGCATTCCACTTTTGGAACACCCTGATTCAGCTATTAAAGTGTAAGACTTTCAGAATACCCTATACAATCTGAGGAAGGAAAGAATACTAACAACTGAGGGGAGGGGGTTGCCAAGACAGTAAGCCAAGCCTCCATAAGGAGTGCATTAAGATTTGCAAAATGCTTTATAAATATTATCTCATTTTATCCTCATAACAGGTAGGCAGGTATTCTTATGACTCTTTTTTTTTTTGGCTAGGCAATGGGGTTAAGTGATTTGCCCAGGGTCACATAGCTACTAAGTGTCAAGTGTCTGAGGCCAGATTTGAGCTCAGGTCCTCCTGACTCCAGGGCCAGTGCTCTATCTACTTCACCACCTAGCTGCCCCTCCTCCCATTTTTACAGATGAAGAAACTGAGGCAGAGATTAAGTGACTTGTGCAGGATCACACAGCTAATAAGAAGAATAGCTAACATTTATTTAGCTCCTACTATGTGCCAGGGACTTGACTGAACACTTTACAATGATTATCTCATTTGATCCTCGCAACAACCTTGGGAAGTAAAGGCTATTATTATTCTCATTTTATAGATGAGGTAACTGAGGTAAACAGGGGTTAAGTGATTTGCCCAGGGTCACATAGCTAGTAAGTGTATGAGAAAGATTTAAACTCGGATCTTCCTGGACTCCAGGCCCCAGTGCTCTATTCACAGGGCCACCCAGTTACCTAGAGAAAACTTATGCATGAATGACTGATTAAATGTATGTAAAACTGCAATAGAAATGTAAAGTGTTGTGATTGCAAGGTCCTACCTCCTTCAAGAAGTCTTCTCTGATAACTACTAGGTTCTAAGAGCTCTAGGTGAGAAGGAAGTACACATTCTCTTGAGGTAGGCATGGGGATGGCTAATTTATATCTGTCTTATATCGTATATCTTACAATTACAATCTGATGTAGCTGGGACTTAGAAGAACTGGGGAATTCTGCAACTCTTCATGAGATTCCCTGTGGTCTAGAACAGTACTTAAAATCAGCACAGAGATTTGAAAAGCACTTTCATTACAACTACCTTTTTTTCCCCCTTGAGGCAATCAGGATTAAGTGACTTGCCCAGGGTCACACGGCTGTTGTGTCAAATGGCT